ATGAAATAATAAATATTGATGAGGCAAAGCAACAGATGATGATGTGGCCCTTGATGAAGCACATGCTCTTGATGAGGCAAAGGTACCTGAAAATGATGAGATCTCATTATATTATGAAACGAGATGGAATAGAAATGAAATTGTTGTCGACAACATATTCTCATATCTTGTTGCTCTTGATATTGAAAATGAGGATCCGGAACCTCAAAACGTCGAAGAATGTCGACGAAGAAATGATTGGCCAAAATGGAAAGAAGCGATACAAGCAGAGCTAAATTCATTAGCTAAATGTGAAGTATTTGGACCAGTAGTCCAGACACCTGAGGGTGTTAATCCTGTTGGGTACAAATGGGTGTTTGTACGAAAGCGTAATGAGAAAAATGAAATCGTGAGATATAAAGCCCGACTTGTAGCTCAAGGTTTCTCACAAAGACCTGGTATTGATTATGAGGAAACATATTCCCCTGTGATTGATGCAACTACTTTTAGATTCATAATACATTTAGCAGTCACAGAAAGATTGAATATGCATTTAATGGACGTGGTTACAGCATATTTATATGGATCACTAGATAGTGATATTTATATGAAAATCCCAGAAGGATTTTCAATGCCTGAAACAAAACCACGTAATATGCACTCAATAAAATTACAACGATCCTTATATGGATTGAAGCAATCTGGACGAATGTGGTATAATCGCCTTAGCGATTACTTACTCAAAGAAGGGTATGTGAACGGTCATATTTGTCCATGCATATTTATTAACAAATCAGAATCTAGTTTTGTTATTATTGCAGTATATGTTGATGATCTGAACCTTGTGGGAACATTGGACGAGATCGAAAAGACAGCCACTTATTTAAAGAAAGAATTTGAAATGAAAGATCTCAGAAAGACAAAATTCTGCCTTGGGCTGCAGGTTGAACATCTTTCGAATGGTATTCTCATCCATCAATCAACATATACAGAAAAGATTCTGAAACGTTTTCATATGGATAAAGCATATCCATTGAGCTCCCCAATGGTTGTCCGATCACTGGACATCAAGAAAGATCATTTTTGTCCTCATGAAGATGATGAAGAACTCCTTGGCCCTGAAGTGCCCTATCTCAGTGCGATTGGTGCTCTTTTGTATCTTGCAAATTGCACAAGACCTGATATAATTTTTCCAGTCAATTTATTAGCACGGTACAGTTCTGCACCAACTCGCAGACACTGGAATGGAATCAAACACATATTGCGATATCTTCGTGGCACAACTGATATGGGCTTGTTTTATTCGAAGGCACCAAAGTCTCCATTAGTTGGATATGCAGATGCCGGCTATCTTTCTGACCCACATAAAGCTTATTCACAAATAGGGTATGTGTTTACCTGTGGCGGCACAGCTATATCATGGCGATCGATGAAACAGACAATGATTGCCACTTCTTCAAATCATTCTGAGATACTCGCAATTCATGAGGCAAGCAGGGAATGCATTTGGTTGAGATCAATGCTCCAACATATTCGAACAACATGTGGTCTCTCATCAATAAAAGAAAGTCCAACAATATTATATGAAGATAATGCGACATGCATTGCACAGATGAAAGAAGGGTATATTAAAAGTGACAGGACCAAGCACATCTCACCAAAATTCTTTTATGCACATGAACTGCAGAAAAAAGGGTGATATTGATATTCAGAAGATACGTTCATGTGAAAATCTAGCAGATTTATTCACTAAAACGCTTCCAACTACAACATTCAAGAAGCTGGTGCACAACATTGGAATGCGTCAACTAAAGGATCTTCAGGGTTGATCTAATGAGGGGGAGCAATTCATCAAAGAGGTATTGGCATGCTGTACTCTTTTTCCTTCGTCCAGGTTTTGTCCCACTGGGTTTTCCTGGCAAGGTTTTAATGAGGGAGTTTTACTCTATGTAATACCATTTTCAGATACATAAGAATACTGTACTCTTTTTCCTTCGCTAATGTTTTGTCCCATTGGGTTTTCCTTAGCAAGGTTTTTAACGAGGCATATTCTTAGTTCAGTATTGTGAACCCCAAGGGGGAGTGTTATGTATATATCATGGTGTGGGGCCCACAATGTATGATATCATCCATGACATCAAGGCTTAAGTCTTACAAAGGAAGCTTTCAAGAGTGGCTTCTTAGGGAAGCCAATTGCTGCGCCTATATATATATATAGCTATGCATGTGTACTGCTGAGATATGTGTTGGAATAGAAAAACAAAATTTCATTCTCTTTGCCTCTCTTTCGTTTTCTCTCACTCAATCTCTTTATATTACTTTCTTTATGTGTATATACACACACACACACAAATTTATTACAATCTTTTCTTTCTTGTTTTGATTGAGTTTTACATAGAGTAGAGAGAGACTGATGGTATTTTCAGAAGACTAAAAGGGCAAAATGGGTATTGCAGAAATAATTTACGTCCGATTTTTGACAGAGTGGTAATTTTGCACAATTTCAAAAGATTATGAGTGTTTATTGCACACTTTTTTAAATAGGGAGTAAAAGTGTTACTCCGAGTATATTTGAGGGGTGTTTTTTGTACTTACCCCCTTTAACAACATTAGCTGAAGCAATGGCTTTGAGTTCGGCCATCTCTTCCTGCGTTAGCTTCACACGATTTGTAAGAACTTTATCAACAAAATTCTTATACAAAATTTAAAATACATACCTTCTCACGATTTTGCAGGAAAAAAAAAAAAAATTAAAAAAATGCAAATCAAAATCCTAAAATTCAAGACAAATTTAATGACTTGTAACAAAGGCTTACAAGTAAGGTTATTGTATTCAAAATCGGGCTCTAAAATCATGCCACGGAGAACGAAGAGAGGAAATCCAAAGGGGAGCCTCTCCAAGTTGATTTGCAAAGGATTGAAAGAACATTAAGGGAGGAAGCGTTGATGACGGCGGCATTAGTGAATGGCGTCTATTCGTGTACTCCTAAAACGACATTATTTTTATAGTTTTATTCAACAAACTGATGTGGCATAATATAAACTATCGATCAGTATAAAACGCTATATGTCCGTGTCTTAGTAATTCAATTTATGATAATATAAAAGAGTTTTTAACTTAGAATGTCGTAATCCATTTACAAGTATAGTTGGGGGGCATAGCCCAAGGCTCAACAGGGCACAGGTAAAAAAATAGTCTAAAAGGATCATTATTGAAATACAAGGGAACAATTTAAAACGACCAAAGAAATTAGGCCAGTCAAGCCCACCTTTAAAAACTAACCGTTGATTTGGACCTTCTTTTGGCAACAAAATTATCAAATATATTTTTGTATTTTGCTTCACTATATACTATCCACATTAGAAATACGAAACAAAAAAAAGGAAGAAAGTCCTAAAGAACATGGTCCGATCACATATTGTAGTATTTAACAATGAGCACTACGTAAATTTAAAAACAGACTCACTTGGTACTCATTTCTTGATGTGAATGTAAAATTTTCTCAAGTTAAAAGGAGATATGAGTTTTAAAATTAAAAGTCATGTTACAAAAAATAAAATATTAATAAAATAGCAGTTAGTGCCAAAATAAGTAATCCGTTTTTTCAACGTAAAATATTCTTTTTGGAAAATATTTTTCTTTTTTAGGTAAAATATGTTTTTTATTTTTACTTTGTCGGTATTTGATAATGGTCTACGTTGAGGTTGAGGTCGAGTCCATCGGACGGAGCATGTAAAATAACTTGCCGAAAATTTATGGATAAATTATTTTTGTTAAATTTTAATATTTTTTTTTCTTCATAAATATTTTACGACAACCAAACACTAGAAAATAAAAAAATATTTTTTGAAAAATATTTTTTCGTCTAAACAAACCGAGCCTAAATTTCACTTGCTTTTTTTTAGTGTGTATTTTGTTACTACTGTTTAATAAAAATCATAAATACATTTTGAAATATTATTATAAATTATGACTATTATTAAGGTATTATTATTATTCTATTTATTTTCATTATTATTATATTCTTAAATCTATATTTATGGTACAAAGATATTACAACTTGAAGTCTGTAAAATGGTTACCATACTTTGTGGGTAATATATTTAAGTAATACGAAGTAAGGCTATGAGTCAAATATCTTATAATTGAGATACTATTTCACATATATTAGAGTATTTTCTATTGAGCTTCGGACAATTTTGTAGACAAGACTAGTACAACTTTGTCTCTCTTTAGACATGTATAAAGAAAATTATTTGCGGATATGGGTTGTCTCTTGGAATGGTATTGGACTACCACCTGCAAGTAAGGAGAGATTTTTGCTTATATGCATATAATTATCCAGATCAGTCCTTTTCAACCAACTTTATTATTATCATTCTCCTAATTTTAATTCTATTTTTGAGTTAATATTTTGTTACCGAGTTATTTGTGCTGCATAAATTCTATTAGAAGTTATTGTAATATCTATGTTGTTGAAAACAAAATAAAATAATTTATTTTAATAAAAGTGCTGTGATTTCGTATTGTTGAATTCAATCATGTATTATTGTTCATATTGTAATGACCTATGTATGAATAAAATTTGACATGTTATTTTATGTTGTATAATGTACGTGCTAATTTTACAACACATTTTGCCACTGAAATGTTTGCAGTCATTTCAGATATTAAAAGACAAAACAAACATTTTATTAATTTTTTGTTTATGAGGATTTAATTCGGTCTCTGTCAGGTAGGCAACCAGGAAAATAAATTCTATAAATAAGAATCTTGGGATTATAAAATGTTGAGAGGTTTGTGTAAAATATTAACAAACTTCAAAAAAAAGGTGAGTGAAATTTACCCTATTTTATTATTATTTTTTTAAAATAAATAACTAAGCAATATGGATAAAACAATTATAAGGGTTGGAGTAAATTTGCAACACCATTAAATTTGTGAATGCAATAAATGTGACACATTGTTCAATTGTTGTATTAACAAATTACTGTAAGTATTCAATGTGCGTTCGTTTTTTTTCGGGCGGTGGTAAAGTATTCAAAGTTGGAATGGGAGGGAACGGAAGCAATGACGTAAGCTCTACTCACAATTTCACACTTCTCTCCGTACCCAACCGAAGCAATGACGTAAGCAGCAGTAGTCACAATTTCATTCACACTCTATAAATAACCTTCTTAGCAACTGCTCTCTTAGTCTATATAGCAACTATACACATATAACCTTCCAAAAAAAAAAAAATGGCGGGAGTGAGGAGGATGAAGCTAGGTTCACAGGGTCTAGAAGTATCAGCACAGGGACTGGGTTGCATGGGCATGTCTTTCTTCTACGGCCCACCCAAACCCGATTCCGACATGATTGCCCTTATCCACCACGCCATTAATTCCGGCGTCACCTTCCTTGACACCTCCGACGTTTATGGTCCTTTCACCAACGAAATCCTCATTGCCAAGGTACATATTATATATATATATATATATATATATATTTTCACTACTTCATCCTTCAATTTTATTTGCAGATCAGCTTACTCTGATATGTTGAATGAATTTATGATCAGGCTCTGAAGGAAGGGTTTAGAGAGAGAATTGAATTAGGAACCAAGTTCGGTTGCACCTTTTCCGACGGCAAGGGGCATATGCGCAGTGATCCGGCGTATGTTCGGGCCTGCTGCGAGGGCAGCTTGAAGCGGCTCGGCATCGATTGCATTGATCTCTATTACCAGCATCGCGTTGACACTACCGTCCCCATCGAAGTCACAGTACGTACCTCCTATTTGCTTCTCTTTCTGTTTCGTATTATTGTAATTTATGATAAAGATTGATTTGATGATTTGATCATATTCTATTTCTTTCACTCGTGCTATCTTATTGATTGATATAGGAATTTGAGAATGTGCACATGAAAATCTTACAAATTGTCTGTTTTCTAGAGTGTCCACGCACTGTTTGATGAATGTCAGCCAAAGATACATCTGTGTTTTAAATGTGTTCATCATCAAAACACAATAAATAAATAGGAAGAATATATTAAATCATTTCGATACAAATAGAGTGATGTTTGTCGTCTTTTTTACACTATTTGTACCATAGGAGGGAAGGAAAGGAAAAGAAAGTTTGAGATAACATAAATTTAAATGATACTTGTTTCTCAATGTTTTGAGTTTTGCATGTTTCCATATATACAGATTTGTATATTATTTACTATTTGTTGTCCTCTCAATTTTTTTCACATTGTTGATTCTTTTACGTTTTAAAGCAGTGTTAAATATTTAAGTAACTCTTTCATGAGTAAATCTATACTGTAAGGTTTTTATTTATTTATTTATTAATTAATTATTATTTTTATTTATAGATTACTTTGAAGTCTTTTATTTTTGGATAAATTACTTAAAAAGGATTTTTATTGTATGTGGAGGCAGAAGAGTATGATATTTATTTTAAATTTTAAATTTTTTCCTTTTGTGATATCATCTTTGGGCAATGATCTATGTCCTTTGTCGATCCCTTGGCTTTAATCTATTAGTCTTATATTTTTTCATTAGGGACTTTGCTCTATCAGAATTCAGAGTCATGCTCTTCAACTTTGAATACATTGCCCAACAAAATAAGATTGAAATATTTGTGGTTCACATGTAAAAAGATTTTACTAATCAGAGTTTTGTTAACCTGCATATGTCTGCCCTCTGAAATTTGAAATAGGAGCAGGTATGATTAAAGAGAACATTGCAATTCTCTAGAATGGGTTGTCATGACTATGATCAGTGATCCGTGAGTTGAGAATCATAATTCATAAGTTGTAAGTTAGGACTGTTCTTGTCATTATTCTTACTCATTGTCAAATCCTGTCTGTTTTAGCAAGGATAAAATTTTTGGGTTTTCTTCTCTTCTGTGTCCATGGACTTGCATTTTACTTTTGAATTTATATGTCCATGTCTCTTCCTTCCCCTATTACCCTATCATATATATTAGTTTTTGAATGTTTCCGTATTTGTTTCCTTGTTTGCATTCCTTTTTGAATGAGTATCTAGCATCGTTCCCTAATCCATTTTATGTCATGTACTCGTGTTTTATTCCAGATGGGAGAACTCAAGAAATTAGTTGAAGAGGGTAAAATCAAATATGTAGGTTTATCAGAAGCCTCTGCTTCAACAATTAGAAGGGCACATGCTGTTCATCCGATAACAGCCGTGCAGTTGGAGTGGTCATTATGGACGAGAGATGCAGAGGAAGAAGTTATTCCTACTTGCAGGTAAGGGCCCAAGGCATTAGCCCTGCTAACTTATAAGTATAGGAAGTGATGCAGAGTCTAAAGTTCTAATTTTGTCCACCATGATTTTTCAGAGAACTTGGCATTGGGATTGTTGCATACAGTCCTTTAGGACAAGGATTCCTTTCTTCAGGTCCCAAGATGATTGAGAAATTGTCAAATGATGACATCCGTAAGGTTAGTGCATAACTGCATATATAACATTTTGAGTTTTGAATGAACCATATATATAGCAGTAAGCATAAAAAAAAATTTTACATCATCACTAGAGTATTATGGATGCCCAGACTTTGCTCTTTGACCTCTTGTTGTTTTCCTTATCCTCACTTAATGTCTTCACACGGTAATTAACATTTCACAAACACTGGATTGCAATCGTTTCTTCCTGTTTTTGTCATCGATGTAACATATACAGAGCTTAATATTGAAGAATGATGAGGAACCAAATTTTGTTTGCTGAGAATATGATAATCTATGTGCATTTGTAATAATATTATATATTTCATCTTTTGCAGTGTCTGCCAAAGTTCCAACCTGAGAATGTTGAGCATAACAAGAACTTGTTTGAGCGAGTAAATGCTATGGCAGCAAGGAAGGGATGCACGCCATCACAGCTCGCATTGGCCTGGGTCCATCACCAAGGAAATGATGTGTGCCCCATACCCGGCACCACCAAGCTTGAAAACTTCAACCAAAACATTGGTGCTTTATCTGTGAAGCTAACGAAGGAAGAAATGGCTGAACTCGAAGCCATTGCCTCAGCTGATGCTGTTAAAGGAGATAGATTTGGGGGTGTTTCAATCACTTGGAGGGAATCAAACACTCCTCCATTGTCCTCATGGAAAGGCGATTAAACCCACCCCTCTGCCTCTTTAGTTCCTTCGGGATCAATGTTGTGATTTTGTAGTGAAAAGGTGAATAAACACACACCTCTGCCTCCTTTAGTTTCTTGAGGACCAGTTTTGTTGTTATTTTGTACTGTTTTAAAACTTCTTGTGTTTCTGCATCTCTTGGTGTTCAGAAAGGATAAAAAATTTGAATTTTCCACATGTTCCTGACTTGTGTTGAAGAACAGAATATACAAGTACATGTTTTTATGTGTGTATGTATATAATTTATTGCAGTAAAAGCTATGGAATGACTTCATAATCAAATGCCAATTAAGAGCGTTGTTTGTGAATTTGCAATCTGTTTATTTGCGTCCGGAGGGCAACAGAGCAACTTTCACTTAAGGGAACAAAAAAAAAAGAAAAAAAAAAAAGAAAAAGAAAAACAACAACAACAACAACAGAGCAACTTGTTCAGTAATCAACCTCATTGTATCTCCATTTTAACACAAGGCCAAGTAAGGAAACATCCAAATGCTCACACTACAAAAGCACAGTTTCCTGTTGGTGTAGTTTACTTTGGAAAGGAGTTTCTTTGCATAAACGATTTAATATGGTGTTGCATTATTGCACTGGATCATGGATGGCAATTTGTCTGGGCAGGTATATGCCCGCCCCCATAAACCGATTTTGGTAGACCATTTAAATTATTTGGATGGGGTTGGAATTTAGTAGTAAAACTCGGGACGGGTTTGGCCACCCTTTCCTGCCTCGTTTAGGTGTGTAAATTACCATTACACTAAAAGTTTTGTATTTTGGTTTGGAACAATGTAATTATTGGCTTGTTTAGTTTTGGTCTGATGGTACTTTTACCATTATGGAATGTTTTTAATTTTAAATTTTATGTTAATTATGGATTTTTTTCAATAGTTATATAATTGTATATGAGGAAAAAAAAAAAAAAAATAGGGAGAAATTAAGGGAGTAAAATGGGGCAGGTCGGGTGTCGGGTGTCGACGGGGTGAAAAAAATTAAACGCTCCGGAAATGGGGTAGAAAAGTACCCCATTTAGACGGTTTTGGATAAAAACGGGAAGGAGACTTTTAAATGACAAGGGCGGAAAAGGTATTGTCCAAAATTGCCCCTGTAGCCATCCCTAAAACACTTTAGACTTTAATGTAAGATTGATATTATAAAAATAAGAGTAAAGTGCACTAAACCCTACTAAAGTATCTTCTCTTCCTCAAGAAACCCCGTGAATTAGGTGAAATACACTTACCCCTCTAAAGTATTCCATTTATTGCAAATGTTAACTTACCGTTAAAAATTTAACAGAAATTAAAGCATGTCTGTCATGTGAGGGGCAAAAATTTTAAAAAGACAAAATTAACCCTCATAGCAATTAACAGATAATATATAATAGTATATATATATATATATATATTGACAAAATATGTCATTTTTCCTCGTTTCCCTCGACTCAACCCTCCATCTTCATGGAATATATGAAAAATGAAAATCAGTTTTGCTCGCACACATTCATGGTGGGTTAAAAATTTCTTCCACTTCCAACTTTGTTAATTGGGTGATAAATGAAACATGTACTTCTGGAAACTACGTTAGTCACAATTTCACGCTTCTCTCTATACCCAACCGAAGCAATGACGTTAGCAGCAGTAATTTCACTGGCACTCTATAAATAACCCTTCGTAGCAATTGCTCTCTTAGTCTATAGCAACTATATACATACATATAGAGGGGGAGAGGTGTTTTTGCAGAAAATGGCGGGAGTGAGGAGGATGAAGCTAGGTTCACAGGGTCTAGAAGTATCAGCACAGGGACTGGGTTGCATGGGCATGTCTCACTTCTACGGCCCACCCAAACCCGATTCCGACATGGTTGCCCTCATCCACCACGCCATTAACTCCGGCATCACCTTCCTCGACACCTCCAACGCCTACGGTCCCCTCACCAATGAAATCCTAATCGGCAAGGTTTCATATACATATAAATATACATATACCGATATAATCACTTTTATTTGCAGATCAATTCACTTTAATTAACACTAATATTTTGTCCAATTGATCGATTATGGAATTAATCTATGATCAGGCTCTCAAGGGGGGGTTAAGAGAGAGGGTTGAATTGGGAACCAAGTTCGGTAGCATCCGTATCGAAGGCAAGGTGCATGGGCGCGGCGATCCGGCGTATGTTCGGGCCTGCTGCGAGGGCAGCTTGACATCGATTGCATTGATCTCTATTACCAGCATCGCGTTGACACTAGCGTCCCTATCGAAGTCACTGTACGTTACTCCTTTTCTATTCGCTCTGTGTTTTGGTATCATTGTAATTTAATAATAAAAATTCATCATATTCCATTTCTTTAATATATGAATTTGAGAATGCGCAAATAAAAATTCAACAAATTGCCTGTTTTCTAACAAGTGTGTCCCACACACTGCTTGATAACTATCAGCCAAACATGCAACTGTTTTCCATCCACTTTTGTTTAGTGAACCCTTACAAATCCTTCCATTTCCATTCTATCTCTTTCCAAAATTTTATTCCAAACACAACATGGCTTTTCCCTCCATTTCTTTTCTTTTTTCTTCTTTCATTTCTCTCGAACCAAACTTGGCATATATTTTTATTAGGTGGGGGATTGAGGTAACATAAGTTTAAATGCTAGTTACATCTCAATGTTTTGAGTCTAGTCTGTTTCTATATATACAGAATTATAAATTATTTACTATCAGCTGTCCTTTCAATTTTTTTGGTATTGCTGATTCTTTTACATGGTAAAGCAGTGTTAAATGTCTAAGTTATTCTTTGATGAGTAATTCCATACTAGAAGGTGCTTTTTTTATTTATTTTTTATATTTGGGTAAATTACTTAGATGGCTTTTTAAATGGTCTAGTTAGTCACTAGGCTTGTGTAATTATAATCATATTTTTTATAAACTGAGTTGTTACCAATGATATTAGTAGCTCTCCACATTCAATTTGACCAGAGTTGTTCCATGATGCAGCTTTCATTCAATTCTTTCTCATTTACAGTTGCATTTGTTGGTTGTTTCAGTTACTATCGTGTAGCTTGTTTTGGTAGTTCTTTTCTGGTGATTCGAATTTTCCTCTTTCTTTTTTTTGTTTTTTGCATCGTAAGTATATACCATTTAATGCAATTTTACATTTGTTGTATGTCGAGGTAGAATAGAATGATACTTATTTTTAAATTTGGCAGGGTCTTGCTCTTCACATGTATGAAGATTTTAGTAGTCGTTTTATTAATCGTTTCATGACTAAGATCAGTGATTTCTAAGTTGAATTTCATTTTTTAAGTTCATTAGTGTCAAATCCAGCCTGTTCTAGTAAGCATAATATTTTCTGGTTTTCTTCTCTTATGTCAAAAGACTTGCCTTTTACTTTTGAATGTAATAGTAGGCTATCTACATACCCTTGCCCCAACCCGGAAGCAGTTAAGTTTATTGTGATGTTCATTCTAAAGTTGCATGATCAATATGCTGTCGTATAGTTTGACCATCTTGTGTCCGCATCTCTCACCCTATCATATTAATTAGTTTTGAATGTTTCCGTATTTGTTTCCTTATTTGCATCTCTTTGTTGAACGAGCGTCTAGCATTCCCTAATCCATTTTATGTCATGTAAATGATTATGCTCGATGGGAGAACTCAAGAAATTGGTTGAAGAGGGTAAAATCAAATACATAGGTTTATCTGAGGCCTCTCCTTCAACAATCAGAAGGGCGCATGCTGTTCATCCAATAACAGCTGTACAGTTGGAGTGGTCGTTATGGACAAGAGATTCAGAGGAAGAAGTTATTCCTACTTGCAGGTAAGGGCCCAACGCATTAGCGCTTCTAACTGCTAACTTATAAGTATAGGAAGTGATGCACAATCTAAAGTTCTAATTCATCCACCATGATTTTTCAGAGAACTTGGCATTGGGATTGTTGCATACTGTCCTTTAGGACAAGAATTCCTTTCTTCAGGTCCCAAGATGATTGAGAAATTGTCGAATGATGACATCCGTAAGGTTGGTGCATAACTGCATATATAACATTTTGAGTTTTGAATGAAATATATATATATATATATATATATATATATAGCAGTAAGCATAAAAAATTTATTGACATCATCACTACAGCATTATGGATGTCCAGAATTTTCTCTTTGACCTCTTGTTATTTTCCTTATTCTCACTTAATGCCTTCACACAGAAATTAACATTTCACAAATACTGGATTGCAATATTGAAGTATGATGAGGAACCAAACTTTGTTTGCTGAGAATATGATAATCTATGTGCACTTGTAATAATAGTATATATTTCATCTTTTGCAGGTTCTGCCAAAGTTCCAACCTGAGAATGTTGAGCATAACAAGAACTTGTTTGAGCAAGTAAATGCTATGGCAGCAAGGAAGGGATGCACTCCATCACAGCTCGTATTGGCCTGGGTCCATCACCAAGGAAATGATGTGTGCCCCATACCCGGCACTACCAAGCTTGAAAACTTCAACGAAAACATTGGTGCTTTATCTGTGAAGCTAACGAAGGAAGAAATGGCCGAACTTGAAGCCATTGCCTCAGCTGATGCTGTTAAAGGTGATAGATTTGGGGGTATTTCAATCACTTGGAGGGAATCAAACACTCCTCCATTGTCCTCTTGGAAAGGCGATTAAACCCACCCCTCTGCCTCCTTTAGTTCCTTCAGGACCAATGTTGTTGTGATTTTGTAGTGAAAAGGTGAATAAACACACGCCTCTGCCTCCTTTAGTTTCTTGAGGACCAATTTTGTTGTTATTTTGTAGTGTTTTAAAACTTCTTGTGTGTCTGCGCCTCTTGTTGTTCAGAAAAAAAATTGTATTTTCCACTTTTGTTCAAGAACAGAATAAACAGAATATACAAGTACATGTGTTTGTGTGTGTGTGTATATAATGTATTGCAGTAAAAGCTATGGAATGACTTCATAATCAAATGCCAATTAAGAGCATTGTTTGTGAATTTGCAATTTGTTTATTTGCGTCAGGAGGGCAACAGAGCAACTTTCTTACCAAAGGAAAAAAAAAACAAAAACAAAAACAAAAAAAGAAGCAACTTGTCCGGTAATCAACCTCATTGTATCTCTATTTTAACAAGGCCAAGTGAGGAAACATTCAAATGCTCACACTACAAAAGCACATTTTCCTGTTGGTGTAGTTTACTTTGGAAAGGAGTTTCTTTGCATAAACGATTTAATATGGTGTTGCATTATTGCACTCCATGTAACACGTATGGGGATGACGATTTATCCAGGGAGCGGGTACATGCTACGCCCCCTTAAACCGATTTTGGTGGACTATTTAAGTTATTTGGATGGAGATGGAGTTTAGTAGTAAAACCCTGGATGGGTTTGGCCACTCTATTCCGTTTTGTTTATGTGCGTAAATTTGTAAATTACCATAGTTTATATTAGTATATGAAGTACCAGAAAAACACAAAGATATTTTTCCTCTTTTTACTTACTATTTATAGAAATGGACAATTGTTCTAGAATTTTCTTTCAGAAACCCCCGAACTGGGAGCCTTTTATTTGGGTCCTCTTGGAAGGAGGACTCACTTTTATCGTCAAGAGGTTGGGCCTGGAGGTGGTCCAAATGAGAATTGGGCCTGTTGGGCTGTATGCAGGTGGATTGATGATCCTTTCAAGCTCTGGTCTCAACGGATCGGGCAATATGTGGCCTAGTTCGTTTTTGGTATATATCCTCAGTATATATAGTTAACACTAAAACTTTTGTATTTTGGTTTGGAACAATGTAATTATTAGCTTGTTTAGTTTTGGTCTGATGGAACTTTTTACTATTATGGAATGTTTGTAATTTTGAATTTTATGTTAAACTATTAATTGACATTTTTTTATAAATTTTTTTCAATAGTTAAAATAAAAAATAAGGAGAAATTATGGGAGTAAAACAGGCAACAGGGTGAAAAAAGTTAAACGGGCCGGAGATGGGTGAGAGATTACCCCATTTAGACAATTTTGGGTGGAGACAGGAGGAAACTTTTAAACGGCGGGGGCGGGGAGGGTACGGCCCAAAACCACCCTCCTAGCCATCCCTAAACACGTTAGACTCTAATCTAAGATTGATATTATAAAAATAAGGGCAAATTGTAAAAAACTCCCCTCCACTATTAGTCAGTTGCAAAAAACCCCCCTTAAGAATGTTTTTGGCAAAAAGTCCCCCTCAACTATCTTAAGGGGGTATTTTAACTGATGGCCGGTTAATAAATTTTTGAGACAATTTTTTGAACCAAATTACCCTTCGAAATTCCTGGGTCATTGTTCAGTCCTCCATTAAATCCGGTGAGCACCAAATTTTGCCAAACCGAGAATTTCCAATGAACATCCACAGAATACTAAAATTATTACAATTTATGCCAAAATAATTAACCGTATTGGCAACCATTGGGAAACTTTTCACATTGTACAACAAATCTTTGAGCCATTTTAATGACAACCGTGGTATGATGAGAAACTGGTATGGTCCGGCAATGGACTGCAGTGAAGAAAACAGAACGGAGAAGATGTCCGGCAGTGAAGAAAACTGGTATGGTCCGACTTAGAGGGAGATGTCCGGCAGTGAAGAAAACAGAACGGACCAGCCGTCGAGCAAGGAACTTGCCGGCAGTGAGTTTAACCATGGTTCTGAGAACGTGATGAATAATGGCGGGCCTGTGGCAGTAGCTGAAACGTCCGAGAGTAATGAAGAACCCACTGGCAGAGATGGAGGGACGAAACAGCGAACGACAAGCTGTCGGTGAAGATGTTAGAAACCACCGGTGTGGTTTACTTCATTTCTGTAAATGGGTTTTGCCTTGTTGAAAGTGATGGATGGCCTCATCTTGATTTTTTTTTATGTGTATATAAAATTAGGGTAATTTACAAACCTCCCCTATAGTTTGTCATAATTACAGGTGACACCCTTCCTGTTCTGAAAATTACACGGACCTCCCTTATTTTTTAAAATATCCTACACGGACCTCCCTTCTGTTAGAGTTAACGGCAGTCAACGACGGAAAATGATGACATCAGCTACTATTTTTACTAAAATTCCCATAATAACCTTGTCCTTGATATATATCATACACACACACACACACACAAAAATCTGATTTTTCATCTATTTATTATCTAAAATAATCAGTTGAATGAAACCCATGTTCTCTTTTTCCATTTTATGAGATGTATTATTAAAACACAGAGAGAGAATCACACGAATTTAGAGAGAGAGAGAGAGAGTTTTGAGTTGTTGCAATGGCACCCAGTTTTGATTGTGCGGTATTAAGCCTTCTTTGTGCAGAAGACAACAATAGCATTTTTTATGTTGATGATGATGATGTTATTAATGGGTCTTTGAGGGAGGACTTTGAACCCACTTGGAATCATAGAAATCACCGAATGAGTAATCAAAACCAAGGCTTTGATGGTGAAGAGTCCTGGAATGGGTTACTAGTTTAGACTAATGTAATACCCCTAATTTCAAAAGGATAGTCCTGGTATTTAATTTTCAATTTATGTTTTAATTGACTTTTTAATTGTTTAATTGTTTTTGAATTATTTGACGTACTTGACTTATTTGTATTATTTGATTTAATTCTTTGGTTTACTTATTTTCTTTGATTTATTAAATTGTTGAGTTCTTAGATTTATTTAGCTTACATTGAGTGCTGCATTTTTCATCATGTCTGGATTTGTTACCTGTTTAATTGTTAATATTGCTTAAATTGTTTTATTTAATTTTGTTGATTTTTTTTTAATTGATTTATTGGTAATTGGTTTAATTATTTTAGAGGCAACTTAACTGTTTTAAATTATTAGGGTTTTGTTAATTTCATCGTGTTTCATTCTGAGCCGACCTGTAGGTGGTTTAGGATTAAGGTTAGGGTTTCAACTTAAGCCTATAAATACATATGTTTACGTCTGCTAAGGGTTTTTGTAAACCCTATTCACCACAGTCACGTATACAGTGTTACAGAGGGTTGTGAGGGCAGAGAAATAGAGAGTGAGTAATTTACAGAGAGGGTTTAGGAAGGCAGAGCAAGGAAAACTAGAACTCAGAGGCTTGGATTCAGTGTTTCAACTTTGAAACTTAAGGCAAGTCTTGTTCTTCTCTATCTCTTTAATCTGTGTTCTGTGTGTGTTTAGGAAGACTCCAGGAATTAAACTAAGGCTTAATTATAACCTTTATGCATGTTTAATTAATGTTTAAATTCATGGAATTGAACCTGTTCTTCGTTGATTCAGAAAGATAGTAAAGAAACTGTAGTTCTGTAACCTTGCTCCGTTGCGTAGTATTTTGTTTTCAATTCAAGTTTGATGATATATCATTGTTTTACAATCAATCTGGAACTGAATTAGGCCTTAAAACATGCACTAAAAATTTCTACAATAATTGGTGCTCACAGAAAACAGAGAAGACGACGAAGCGGACGAAGCTGCTAAGGGGAAAAGGGAGCAGGCTCTTATAACCCCTTAGAGCCGGCTCCTAGAAGGTAGAGCCGGCTCTAGGATGTTGTGGAGCCGGCTCTAATGAGCCTAGAGCCGGCTCTGAAGAAAAGAAGAGCAGGCTCTTTTAATTTCTAGAGCCTGCTCTCTCTTAAAAGGTCCAGAAACTGATTTTGGTGGTTCGTTTGGCTGAAATTGAATTTTCTGGAATTGTTTGAAGCTGCTGAATGTTGTAAATATGTGTTTGAGACTTAAAATAATGTTAAAAAGCAAGTTCACATTCGGTTATTGAGGATAGGAATTAATTTAAGATCAAATAGAGGGTTCGTAGGTGAATGGTTAAATATTTACATTACACTGCTTACTGTTTTAGCAATTGATTTTATTGCATGATCTTAAATTATGAATCATATTGTCAGTTGTGTTAAGAGCATATGACTGTTAAAATATATGTGTTCTTAGCTGGAATTAACTGATGTTTACAAACTGACATACAACGCATCAGTTATGGTATTTTATGGAGAAATAAATTATATAATCTTGATTTGTCAATTTAAAGGATTGGAACTGGGATTCTAAAATTGTTGTTGGATGCACAATTTAGTTATACATATGTTAAACTATATTTATGCAAATTTTGGAGTATGGTTGATTAATATCTGATACTGTTTTCGTCAACTACGCTGACTGGAGGAGCTAAGTGTACAGTCTTTTTATTTTTATAAAAAACTGCAATGGGATATCTAAATGTTATATTGGAGGCATAAATTAGTTGTATACATGCTAAACTATATTTATGCTTATTTTGGGATGTGGTTAATAAATAGATATACTGCGTTATTAACTATGTAAACTGGAGGATGGTATGCACCGGTATGGGATGGTGTCATACTAGGTACGGATTAGTTCAGACACTAAGCCTACCTAAATCTGGATTAAGGTATGGATTAATCATAAAGGTTAAGTCCATCACCTACATGTGTCATTTCAATTGTGAATTGAATGACCTACTATGGTTTCAGGATGGATTGGTTATACATATATCAGACCACTATACAGATGGATGGTATATTGTATTAGAAGGAGTTCGGACTTTATATATATATTATACGGTGCCGTGGAATGAGCTTGAGTCTCATGACCATGGTTAGGGCACGTATATCGCCTAGGATGGATAACTGGACATATGTGTTGTTCCCTGGTAAGTCTAGGTACTCATGCCCACCTTAGGGTGCGTATTCGCATGTTGCCTTCTATTCAGGCTGAGACAGACCTATTGGACTAGCGAGCGTCCTATAGTGTGTACTATATATTTATATGGACTACTCTAGATATTGTTGAGTCTTCCTAGGATGTATCTGTGTAGTAGATCAGGACTTGCATGTGGGCCTGACCCACTTCTTTATTTTTCAGGTGCTCGTCAGTTCCAGGGTTAGAGCTTGGACGTGCAGAGCAGA